AGGCCACCAGAGTGTGCATACGGCAGCATGCAAACAACTGCACATTGAATATATAGCATAGCTCTGTTCTGAAAATGCCTTTGCCACCCCATCTCTGAGTACTTTCTATTTGTTGCTTCTATCACTTTGTATCAGGGCTAACTCCTCTTCTTCACTTTCTCCCATCCTTGTCATCTTCTTTTCCCCAAGAACTCCAAACTGTCCCTTTCTGTGACCCACAGGAATTCAATATTCCTCAGTTCCTTTGAATATATAGCATAGCTCTGTTCTGAAAATGCCTTTGCCACCCCATCTCTGAGTACTTTCTATTTGTTGCTTCTATCACTTTGTATCAGGGCTAACTCCTCTTCTTCACTTTCTCCCATCCTTGTCATCTTCTTTTCCCCAAGAACTCCAAACTGTCCCTTTCTGTGACCCACAGGAATTCAATATTCCTCAGTTCCTAACAGCAGACTTTATTCCTGGCCCAACCAGCTCAGTAGTTGTGCTGCAGTATTCTCTTGACAGCAGCTTCCCTTTTCAGAATGTACTTGTAATTGTCATTAGAACTTTTTGTTTACTCTTAGTGGAGCCCCACGTCAGATGATCTCAGAACTCTAATGCACGCATCATCTCTTGCAAGCATTTAGAAGATGCAAGTGAGATCTTAAGGATCTTATTCCAGGTATAGAAGCTAGTGCCCAGTAAATCAAAGACAAGGCTCTGCTTACTTGATGCCTAGCCTGTGATTCTTCAATATTTCATACTTATGTGGATTTATGCATGACTTTTACATTATAAACTGTATTTCTGCTTTGGGGTTTTTTTTTTTTTTTTCTGGTACCAAGAAAAAACTCAGGACCTTGCTCTTCTGAGGCAGGCGCAGCACCACTGAGTTACATCCCTGGCCCTATAAACTGTCTTTCTTGCACAGCATCTTGGGTGGAAAAAAAAAAATACCAAAAAAGCCTACAGTCACAGGAATTCCTGGAGAAGGATGATATAATTCTGACACTGACTCCCCTGCAATGCCTTTTGGAGAAGTGAGAGTTGGGGCTGAGACAGTGGTTGTTCTCCCACTCCATCCTCCCTGTGGATGTCTTAATCATTTCCACTGAAACTACTCAGGATTGCAAAATGCTCAGGGATGGTTTCTTGAAAATATCTTAGGCAATGAGAGAATTGGGAGATGCCAGGGCAAAGCCAGCAACCTACCAACCCTATCACTTGCACGGTCTCTGCTTCTCTACCTGCTTCTTTTTTTTTTTTTTACACAGGGTCTCACTATGTAGTTGAGACTGACCTGGAACTCACTATGTAGCCCAGGCTGGTCTTGAACTCACAGCTATCCTCCTGCCTTGGTTTCCCAAGTGCTGGGATCACAGGTGTGTGCCGCTACACCCGGTTCTCGGTCTGCTTCTTGACCCCGGTGGCTGATGGAAGTGGCAGAAGGAAGGCAGGGGGCTCAGTCGATGTCATGTGTCCTTGGGAAGTGGCTTTGGAATTATATAGTACCGTGCAGGAATTCCAGGCCCTGGATCCAGTCTGCCACCTGTTAGTGAACCCAAGTCAAGTCAACACTCGGGGGACAAGAGATGGTGGGAAGGAAATCAGTTTTATGCAAAGACAAGAGTCCTGGAAGATGGACAGGGAATACATCATCTTCAAAGTTCCATCTTAGGGAACTCGAATGCACAAAAGGGATTTTACAGAGAGGGAAAGAAGGTACATGGCAAAGTGGATAAGAAGCCTATTCATCATCCTTGGTGTGTGTGTGTGTGTGTGTGTGTTCTTCCCCCCCCAGAACACCACAGTGACCTTGACCTCCAGCGGCTATTTCCTGTGGTTATTTACAGACATTAGTTTTCTGAAAGTTAAACCCTAACATTTTACATGCTTGTGTTAGTTGGTGCACAGAACTAAAGAATAAGGAAGGGCATTACACACTGATGTAATCCAAAGGTCACCAGCTGTTCTGAGTTCTATAAATTTAAAGAAAGTTTAGCAGCTAACATCTTAATCATTAGGTACAACTTCTATAATCTTGGCACTCTGGGAGGCTGAAGCAGAAGGATCGCAAGTTTGAGCCCAGCCTAGGCAACTTAGCGTCTTTGCAAGACCCTGTCTCAAAATTTTTAAAAATTTTAAAGGACTTAGGATGTCGCTCAGTGTGAAGGCCTTGAATTCAATCCCCAGTACTGCCAAAAGAATGACCACTCACAAAGGCATGGCCTCCACCCTGTGTCATAAGAGAAGCCCATTCAGTGCAGAAAAAGAGGTTGTAGCATCCTCCAATCATTCATGAATACACAGATATGTGTGGCACATCCACAAGTCCCAGGTGATATTCTGGGTCCTAGAAACATAGTAGTAAAGAGAAGCAAGGCACCTGCTTAGAGGATGTTTATGTACCAGTGTGAGAAACAATGAGCAAATATAACAAGAGACAACTGGCAGTGCGATGGGCTCAGGAGGAGGAAAACTGTGTCTCACCAGTTGATCACAACATACTATAGGGCAGCTGATGACCCTCAGCGTAGCTGACAAGCACTCATCAGAGGGACAGGTGAGGAGGAAGGAAGCGCCACAAGGACGTGTGGCACGGGGCAGCTGGCCTGGAAGGTAGAAGAGGAGCTTGTTGCGCACTGTTGGACCATTGTCCTGAAGCCATTCTGTCTTCTGCCCTGAACCACTCAGCCCGCAGGCCATTGACTTTATCTCCTACTTTGGACAAAATAGAAACCTCTGCGTGTGAACTCTCAATTTCCTATCTTCACATTCAGGTCTTCTTTCTGGTTCTATTCAATGTCGTTCTACTCCCTCTCCCTCTCCCTCTCCCACTCTCCATCTCTCTCTCCAACCTTTGCTTCCTTTTAAAGGCTTATTCTTCTCCCTGGGAAGTGAAGGTATCACCTCTGCTCTTCTTGGATCTTGCTTCTATTCTCTCCTCTTGTCCTGAATTTCATTTTTGTCCTCTCTCCTGGCAAATTCCATTTGTAAACACAATAAAGACTCTCATGTTATAAACAAACAACCTTACTCAGACTCACTTCCCTCTCGCTTGGAGTCCAGGCTTCCTCTGCCTGCTGGGACACTCCTCTCTCCTGTCTCTGTCCTTCTCGGACTGCTCCTTCTCACCCTCCTTTGTAAGTTCTGCTCTTCACTTCTGTCTTAGTTACTTTTCTCATTGCTGAGACAAAATACTGGCACTCAAAGTTAAAGGAGGAAAGATGTATTTTGGCTCACGGTTTGTAGTGGTTTCAGTCCATAGTTGGCCGGCTCCAGGGCAGGGTGGAATGGCAAAGGGGAAACAGTTCATGGCTGGCACAAGGTAGCAAAGCAGCAATATGGTGAAGAAGCAGCAGCAAGCAATGGCAGCAGCCCTCTTTCTGTTCCTTATATTCTATCCAGGCTACACATCCTAAGGGTAAGTAGTGCTCACACCCAGGGTGACCCTTCCCATTATCCACACCCAGAACTATACCAATCATGGATTGGTTTAGTAATCACACACACCTTTAATCCAAGTGGTACAGCCACTAGATCCAGCCACCTCTGTAAAGCTCCACCTATGACCACATGAGGGTTTGGGGGAGACATCTAGACACAGACCATAACAGTTTCCTTCTATTGTCATGTGTGAATCCCCCAGGATTCCATCTCTTCCTCTGGTCTCAATAAATAAGATTTAGAGACTTTGCTAAGGGCAAAATGATTAAGGAGAAAAGAGGAGACCACAGGAGCTCTAGGCTGCTGAGCACACAGGGAAGGGACACCAAGCAGGGAGGATACAGCGCCAGACAACAGGAGCTTCATGCATCGTCTAGGTCCCATAGAAAGTGTATTTCTACAACCCCATCATATTTCAGCTATAACTATCCTCTGAGGACCTCAGACAAAGATTCTAAGATGTCCCTGCTCCTGCCAGTTCTAATGAATCAGTTTCTCTTCCTTGCTATCTACACATTCAAGCAAGGGAGTTTAAGGGAAGGGAAACTGGGAAGAGAAGGAAGCCCAGAGCCTGTCCCTGGAGAGATGTGACTGGTTCATTGATGTTGGGCTTCCAGGCACTGGAACAAGTAAACAGCAAAGGTATTTGGGCTCAAGGAATCTTTTTTTTTTTTTTATGCCTTTCATTTCATCCAGCTCCTGCTCTGCCACCTCCAACTGTTCCAGGGAACAAAGCTTCCAGTTTCCTCATTAATTCCAGCCAGGAGCTCTACAGACCAGCTGGATGCAACTGTCTGCACTGAGGCTCACAACCACCTGAATTGCTTCTTTAAAATACTGATGCTGTTCAAGTCCCACATTAGACTTACAAATCAGAACAGGAAATGGAGTGAGGACATGAGACCCTGTATTAAAGCATATTTTAAATCATTTCCCAGGCAATTCAAATGTAACTTTTGAGAAGCTCAGGTTTAGTGGTCTAAAGTTAAGGTCCTCAATTCACAGACTTGGGTTTGGTTTCTGATTTTTTCATTTATTACCTCTGCAACTTTGGGCAGGTGGATAAAGCCCTTCAAAAGCCTCTGATGTCCTTATCTATAAAATAGAATAATAACAACAACAACAACCTTATAGAACTCCTGAGAGGATGGCATGAGCTGGGGCATGGAAAGTAGTTGGAACTCATAGAAAGCCAGCACATGATGCATGTTAGTTTTCTGAAGCTCATTTTCATACTGAGGTTCTCATTGTGTACAAGAAGTCATAGCAATAGGCCAGGGATTTAGCTCAGTGATGCTGTCGCCTGCCTCGCAAGCGCAAGGTCTGGAGTTTGATCCCCAGTCCAAAAAAACAAAAAGTCACAGTGATAGACTGAAGCCTTGCCAATATAGGAAAGTTTTGAACCACAGTTCTGCTTTCGGTTCTGTTATGAAAATAAAGAATTTATCAGCTTCATGTCAGGTGGCAGGGTAAAGTAGTGAAAGATTGGACTGAGCTGGAATCTCAATAAGTCAATTAGCCTGGGCTACCTTTACAAAATTCCCTAACTTTTCTGAGTACTATTTCCTCACCTGTCAAATGGAAGTACAATCAGCCCTCAATATTTACAGGTCCAGGGCTGGAGATTTAGCTCAGTGGTGTCACCGCCTGCTTCAAGCACAAGGTCCAGAATTTGATCCCTGGTACAAAAAAAAAAAAAAAA